ATAACCAGGGCAGGGTGTGTGTTGATGTTTTCCCTCAAGTCATCGGGGACATAGGAGCGAGTGCTGGAGGGTCTCCCGGAGGAGGGACCTCAAGAGCGCAGGCCCTGCTGAAAAACCTGAAAACGAGCCTGAGTAGCATCATGCAGAAGAACTGGAAGTAAACACAAAGTAAACAGAAGAATACGTTGTTAGCATGTGCATGATTGTAAACAGTTCTTTGTTATTTGTAGCTGGAAAATCTAATGTAAAATAAACAGCTTGTCAGAGCATCCCCTTGTAGTTTTTTCGGTTATATAGATTGTATTACTCACTAAACTGCCTCCTTCGTTGAAAACTAACTCAAGACTGCAATAGGTTTGCTTTTTATCAGATTCTCAGTCTGTTGTTCTTTAAAAGAATGCGCTGCATGACTGATGAATTGCTGATCACAGGGTAACCACTTACCGTGATCACAGGATTACCACTTACCATGATCACAGGATTACCACTTACCTTGATCACAGGCTAGTAGTCTACACATGGTTATCTAGTTACCTTCACAGGGTTAACATTTGCCTTCGCCCGTAGAAGTCTACCACCTACGTTTTACTCTCACATGATTCCTTAACCACCCCCTGCCCCCTTCCACCCTAAGCCCCAACCTAAGGGTGATCGACACTGTATTTCTGATTACAGAGTACCAACACGGAAAGGCATAAACATGAAAAGCCTGGAGCTAACTCCAAAACCCAACCGTGTATCTAGCCTCTAGTCTCATATTGAAAACAACCGATTTCTATAACACTTATTAAACTACCTACACAAAACCTAAATTACTCTATTATGTGCATCGAAGATCTTGTTGTCGAGTTGATCACCATCGTATGAAATGATATCTTTCAGAATACAGGTCATGGGAAAAGGAAAAATTATTCCAATTAATTAGTACATAACACATATGCTTAGACTAGTAAGGATTTTGACACATGAGGCTCAAAGCGTGGTTTACTCAATTGATCTTGGATTAAAACGCCTCTGTCGGTCGAAAAGGCGTCCTTCTTCAAACAGATGCTCCTTGGGCCTCAACGACACCGCAAATACCTTAAAATATTCAACATCAGCATTAATACAGTGGATTTACCCAAGGACCTCAACAGAAAGCAATTTATACAATTACGTTTTAGTATAAGGACCTGTATACAAGGGCCTTGATACTAGGACCTCTATTAGTGACTGTATACAAGGACCATCGAACAAGGGCCTTGGTACAGTTATCCTAATACAAGGAGATTTGTACAAGTACTTTTGTATAAGGACATATATTAGACGTGCCTTAGAAAAGAGACCCTACCTTATACAAGGGCCTTCACATGGGGTCCTTGATATAAGAAAGACCTTCACGGATTTGATCACATCGACATATCTTACGATCGTGTATCGATTGATCCATGCATCTCTGCCTTGATGCATAAGATCACTCGTCACCGACAGTAGTCATAAGAAATAAAACTCCACAATTTAAGATCGAATAGCAATCTTCAATAGTGGCAAAAGTGATAAATTGGCGATCTTGTATCGATCAATGATCCAAGGTGGCCAAAAGGATATGCATACCATGTATTAGCAGAAACTTGTAAATATTTTCTGCATATATACATAACGTTGATTTTTTATATATAATACGTCGATCGAAACCAAAACAACTTTAGGCAATCAATTAGAAAAAGGTACGTTAAGATAATCTTCAGTGCACTTCTTTGTGATAAGCAATTCTCGCCCTGTAGTGAATGGCCATTTTCCTCTCGACGGACAAAGAAAAGACGGATGGCTATTTGTGTACGGTAAACGCGAATGCTCATCAAAGAATAATGAGTTAGTGTGTAAATTTTAGTTTTTTTTTTACCCCAATTGGTGCTAATCTCGCAATCTGATTTGCTAATTCGCCGTTGTCGATAAGAATCCAGACGACGCTGCTCGCGTCAATGTGTCACGCTCTTGGTCAGG